TCCTGCTTATTTGACTATCGGGACGTCCCAGCCCAAGAGGTCTATGGTGATACAAATTTTACGCGGAGAAAAGTTGGGTTTCGAGGAATCTCTTGTTTCATAAATGTTAAGCTTACTTCCATTTCGAGTAAAAGTGCTGGGTGAAGAGATTCGAAGCTCGATCCCACCAAAAGGCGACGATGTATTCTTCTAATTCAGCCGTCGATTGGCCTTACCAAGACACTCTTGTGGATGCTGTTTCCAAGGCAATCTTCTTCGATTCCGGCGGAAACGTGCTCACATCTCTTCTGTCGTATTATGGACATCATCAGAGCAGGTTATCATCTGTACATTATTATATTCAAGCTAATGAGTCATGTTTTCTTGATGTTTTCACCGGGATCGGAGCAGATTGCCTCGGAGTCCGCCGTAGTCTTCTGGTGGGATCAACCTCGAATCTCTTCACTAAACACTTCACTCGAAATGGAAGTAATCTCAACAAATGTAAAAGTTCTATTTCGAGATCTACTGATGATCTCTCAGTTCACCCACCTTCCACGCGGATAGCCCTCACTCCACGACCGGACTGTGCGTACAGCCGCCTGAATGCTTCAAACCGGTCGATTCCGTCTCTTTTGAATTGGTCACTTTTCCTTTCGTCTCATTTCCTCTGATCCCGATCCACCCGACCACATGAAATTAGCGCCGAGATTGCCTTCTGCCAGTGCAAACCTTTCATGGCTTGCCCAAACCCGCCTTTACTGCGCCCTGGGACTTGTGATACTCACTGCTTTCGGCAGAGTCTGTTGTCAAGGCAAAAACTCCACGAAAAATGCATCCATTATCCAGGCAGTCACGGCTGAGGTGACTGCGATAACGGATCCGGCAAAAGGAGATAAGTTGATCGAATCGCATACATGCACATTCACTCCAGACCAAGAGGTCTATTTCTCTGGAACCTACATTGACGATTGCACTCTGAAACTGGTGTACAGCAAGACGAATTACAGTTTGATCCGCAAAAATCTGCAGTTTCGGATCCTTGATGGAAACTCCACAGCCAATTTGCCCTTCAATAAGAACCTCATGATCCCCTACAGCAAGACGACCAACTTCACCATTGAATGCCTCTTGCAGGCAACCGAGTACACGTGCTATTTGCCCGTTAAGCGTGAGTCAACAAGAATGTCTTGTGAGTGTTGTCGTGGTGACGAAAAAGAGTTCTCAGATCGGGTCGTCTTTAGGCTCAACACCGTCATTGGTAATAGGAGCCTCCTGAAAATGGAGCATTTTTTCCTTCATACGAAGACAAGCAGCAGGAATCGACTAACTCTGACCCCACAATCGCCAAGATTGCGTCCAATTGATACCTCCTTCTATAAAATTACTTTTGCTTGAAGCTATAGTTATTATGCATGACATAGTGCAGTAAGCTAAGTGGTAGGGAACCGAATTCTCATCTCGATGTCTCTTTTGGCCCATGGCTTATTTTACCCTTTTGCAGAATCAGAAAGTTGTGACTCGAGTCTGTAGCCCTTAATTGGTGCTCCGAGCAAGCACGAAATTTCCAGTCTTACAGCTCCAATGGCGCAGAAGATATCAGCATGTGGAGATCCATTTCATGTGGCTCATGTTCTGTATCGTCCTTAGTTGAATTCGCTTTCTAATCTCTAAATAAATTAGTGCCAAAAGTCATCCTCCCATATTATTCATAGCCCCTTAACGGCCTATCGTAGGCGTGAACATGATTGCGGCCCAGTACCCTCGATCGCTTCCATGCCCCTTCTGCCAAAATACCTCAGATCCGAAAAGCTAGCCTCTCGTAGCCAAGTTTATGCATGCACTTACCAATTAAAGTCCTTTTCCCAATCTAGAAATGCCGGAGCCGCCCTCGTATGTCGTAAAGCTGTTTCCAGAAAAGGAGGCCTACAGCGTGGAAGATGTGATTGAGTATTGCTCCGTGTACCAACAAACAAAGGGACAAACTAGCATCAAACTGTGGGAAGAGGCGATTGAACTGAGATTTCAGGTAGGCTAGAACTATTGCAGACAAACAAATAAAATTCATTGTTAGGGACATATTTAAAATCTGTTTATTATTGCAAATGTCTCTTTCAGGCAATTCGATCAAATAAAAACGAGATTTAATAGCCTCCCTGCATCGGTGCATAGAATTGCAAGCTAATTGGATTAAATGTTGGTTTAACATTCTCGATCATATTTGTCATCAATCCATGCGGTTTTATGATTCTGGTATTACCTCTTTTACGAAGCAAGTCAAATATTTTGTAGAGTCTAATTAGTATACGAGAAAATAAGTTCATAATTTGCAGTGAAATTCAATGATTTGTTAAATGCCGTGGGTATACTAATTACTTAATATTAGATGCTTATTGCCTAAACGTAGCACAATCAATGAACTAATTAATTATGCAAATTGTTCCGCTAACTTTTATTCAAGTAAAATAATGAAATTTGCACGTACACACAGACATACTACTCAGTGCTGAAATCCTATAAATCCTCTTCCATAGAGTCGGTTGGAGGAGATGTCAGATTGGATGAGTGATCTTGATATGGTATCACA